TCGAAGACGAGTTTCGATCACGTGACCTCGACCGCAGGACGTAGGTAGTACGCGCGTTTTAAGGAGGCCTATAATTGTACTATGATCTCCTGCAGAAGCCAACTATTATCATTCTTTCTATACATCATAAAAGTAAAAACTACGATTGTATACTCGTTTAATGGATATCGTTAAGTTATGGGGCGCAGGAAAGTATTAAAAGATTTGCAGGTTAATGGCTCTTGAAGGAGAATTTAAGAAATAATTGACGTCTATAATGATTTATTGGATCGTCTACGCCTATTGCCTGGATCGTATTTCCTCTAACCTTATCATCTGTTTATATAGGTTTAATTTATGTACATATTATATTTTAAAATTTAAATGACAATCGCTTGACATTACGATCGTATTTTATTATATATATTATTTTTTTTTTGGCCAATATGGACATATAAAACTAGATCTAACTTTTTTGAATTATGTCGTTGGGTCTCGATTGAGTGTCGGTATTTCAAGAATGTGACACTAAAATTATGGTTAAGACTTAATAAAGATATTGTACGAAAAAAGCGAGGATTTAACTGAATTCTGATAATTTCAAAATATTTATTGAAACAAAACTTAAGAAAATACCCCGTGAACCTAAAACTATAAATTTAAGTATAAATCGTGGTTGGTACATTGGTACAAATATAGAAATACATATTATACTGCGTTTATTAATAAGTACCTCTATGTACTCGAGAAAAACACCATACCCTAACCATACCCAACAAAACGTTACATGTGTAGGAAATCACAATAATCGGCCACACTTGACGAATCTAAAATCAATAAATTCTAGGATTAACCTGCTATTAGTCATGTATATTAATATGTTGTATACTTGCAATCGAATCGACACGTATCTATGTATGTTTATAATCGCATGTGGATAAAATATTATAATAATGCTATAATATCATACACTGCTCTACTGTAAGTCCATATTGGTTACACTTCAGATGCCTTCATGACAATAATAACATAATGTCATATTTTGTATTTTATGTTAAACAAATTAAAAATCATGTGGTCCTAAACCTCTTTTATTACATTTTTTAATGTTAGACTCCACGATAGACGCCATAATAAGTATTTTGAAAAAAACCGCTCTTTCGCTAACCTATATGTACAATATACGATACCCACGGTCCGTATTACGACGATTAAGTAGGTACTGACCGTAGTGTTTGACGTCCCATTCTGTAGTACAAACAAATACCTAATTATGTGACGGGCCTATCATGCTTGGGTGGGATAAGATTTATAAATTAAAAATTTAATTAGAATAATAAGTAGGTACCTGTATTAAGTTTCACATATAATAGTATAAGAAAATGTTTGAAGTATGTTTTGTACGTGTATTATCGTGTTTTTTCTAAAAAATTGACTAGATTTCCATATTAAAATACAAAATAATGTTTAATACTTGTTATAATATTTTCCTCTTTTAATCTATTTTATATCTAAAGTGAAATGCGACCAGATAAAATATATTAAACAGTGAATCGTATATTGGCATATTATGCTTATCGAGTGTATTGTGTTACATTACGATTATTGTTTAATATTATACTTTCAAGCCTAATACTGTACAGAAACTTTTTTAAGTACATTTTTGTTCAATTTAATCTTCCATATTAAATGATTAAAATCTGCTCTAGGTATAACTGTATAATAGCCGTTAATAAAACAACGTATAATCTCATCGATATTCTAATTTATTCATCATAAATGTCAAAATATTTTTTTTATAAGCTGCAATCGTTGTAGCTTCGGCCTTTGAAGGTAATAAAAATAATACAGTATAAAGTTAAAATATTACCTACAAAAACATTTTATATTTTTTGGTACACGTTTGAAAGTTTGAGATATTTGAATAGTATATTCTTTCTGTAGTATATTTCGTACAACAATAATTGCTCATTAATCATTGAATGATGATCGTAGATGTGTTTTTTTATTGAACCTTAGTTGACATATTTCATTATGAATATGTGTTTTCTATAATATTATACTGATAACTTTATAAAACTGGAATCGTAGCTATCTACGGTAAAACTATTCCCATGTCTCCGTGAACAATAATAATTAACTGTCAATTTATTCCTGATTACGACTAAAACCGAACGCAAACGTCGCGGATCATATTATTATATTATTATAATAATAGGCGGACATTGAACACGCAACTCCGAAAACATAATATACCTACAATTTCGTTAATAGTTCATTAAGCTAGTATTACATTATAACGCTACCGCCACCGACGTCGAGTAGGCGCATTATAATATTATCGTAATAAAAAGTGAAAAATACGTATTCATATGTATAGGCACACGGATTAACAGTCTTGGAGATTATAAACGTCGATTACACACACATCAGACGGACCATCAGCTTTATTAAATACGTACGTCGCAATATGTGCTGTAGCAGTCCCCGAGATCTCACGAAGGGTTGTTCGGTAAAAAAGAAATAATCGGGTAAATATAAATAAAAACACCCACCAAACAACCTTGACGACAACGACGACGACGAGTCCCAGACGAAGGTTGGAATGTTTTGCGTAGGAGCGATGAGATAACGGTTGTGCGTCAAGAGGTCGTTATAATATTAATACACCTAGTTATGATAATTATTAATTGTATACGTGTTAAATGCTTATTACCTATTCGTTAATGCTTATTTACATCCCGTTAATTAAGTTCCAATGTACTCGTCGTATCGGCGTATCGCATTGATGCCCACTGTAAACCCAATGAAATCAGAAAAAGTGGTAGACACCTATAATCGAATACAATTGTTAATCAACGCAGCTAGAAAATGGCAAGGCGCAATAGAATAATATAGCTTTATTATTTTCTGCGAAAACTATAATAAAAAAACATATTATGATGCACCGATGTACATTGGATAGGCGGTGACTAATAGTAAAATATTAAAAATTTCTTCGTTGTGACCCACCATTTTTTAAGGTACACACTAGTTGCGGCTCAGATTTTTCTTGGCACATGCCAATTAACGAGTTTCGCAATACTTTTTCCTTTTTTTTTATGAAATTTATTTATGGGCTTCGTAGATCACATCCCTACTATATTTGGTACTCCTGCACACAATAGTACTGATGGTAGACCTCATAATTCACTGATTTTTCAAATATAAAGTACTCGGGATGTCAGAAAAAAATTATGAATAGTTTTAGTTATCAATATATTTCACTGAAGCCTCCTAAACATTGATCGCATTTATCAGCAATATTATAGGACGTTGTACATCTAATTTTTAAGGAGTTTTAAATAGGCAACTTCAAAGACATTTTTGAAATAATTAATAATAATTCAATAGGTAACTAACAAGTGGTTCAATGTTGATACTGTTCACGTTATCTGGTTAAAATTAAATTATTTTAAAGAAAAATAGTTTTGTTATTAAGTTGAAAATATAAATATTTACATAGTAAAATCATTGTCTATACAATTAAACCGATAACCTCAATAATTATTGTATAATATATCTTTATTGTAAAATAATATTGGATAATGCAGTAAGTAAATTAAATAAAATTAAATAATGTCAAATTAAAAATCATATTAATATTAATTATGAATAAAATTAAATATGAATATTAATGTAGTAATTGTGTACTTAAAATAATATGCTATAGAAAAAAATCACTTAACGTACAATAAGTTCTACTCCGTGATTAAATTCTAACTATTGATTTGTTTTATTATAAAATATTATATTATCGTGGACTGAGACACTGAGAGCACAAGGTGGGTTAATTGTCATTTGGCACACATTGGGTTCTTATGCTTTTTACGCTCGAATTACAGCAAATACATGCTTATATTTACTTAAGAGGATGTAAAATCCAAAAGTGTTGTCTCCGTCTTACAATAACGAACAACATATCAAAATTGAGTTACTCAGAACCAATTTCGTTTTGTTTGCATACTGTAATAACTTGAAGATAAAAACAGTTCTGTGTTTGCATGTTACTTTCTTACGATATTCAATTTTTTTTTTTGTAATTCACAATTTTGAAATGCCCCTGACTTGCTTCGAAATCACGGGGTCGCTCTACTCGCTCTAATATAAAAAATAATAGATTAAAATGAATTCTTCATAAGAAACATACGTTATAACCACAAGCGTTAATTTCGTTTTGCAAACAAATACTATCATAGTAAATATTACATTTAGAATAATCCATTTAATTATATGTTATTTTTAAAATTAAAGTAAATTGATCTAATATAAAATTAAAAGAAAGACTATATTATCATCTCGGTTTTTTGTATTTTAATTTTAAAGCAAGTTATGTGCATTTTAAAACCATACATTTTTTTTAAATTTAAAACGCTCATAACTTGATGGATAATTTTCTTAATTTCAGGCTTTAAGTTTTGTAACAGGTCAATTCAATTAAAAACAATAGATTAAAATTGATCCTTATGAAATTAAAATGCTCTATATTATGTTATACATAGTTTGACAGGGTAAACACATGCGGTAAATCGAGTAAGATGTCCTCTTAAAATATAAAGAACCTTTGAAAACCGGGCGTTAAACTCACTGACAGAATAAGAGCAAACATGACAGTTATTTGAGTATAAAATAGCTTTAATTTTAATTGTGATTGTGCAGGTGCACTTAAACATTGGAACCTTACAGACACTCACGGCACACCCTACATTCCCACCTAAGTTCTAGTTCACTAGATGTCTTGGAGCACTTGTGCCTCATCTAGATTAAACATGTTAGAAGAGTCCTGCTGGTGGTGTCATGAGTATCACTTTTATTTCCATGTTTCTTATGTCCTGTCACGCAGTATTTAATTTCTGTTAGGTACGCATAATATCTTTGCTAACTATTACGCGTTATAGTCAATAGTCATTATGAACGGTACAGTGTCCATTGCAACTATTATTCGCAACAATTTTTATATCGTAGTGTTGTTTTTTGTGCAGGTGTTGTGCGAGGTGGAGGCGGCAATGATAAGCCTGAGCACGTGGCACAACAGGAAGATGCCCGACGGGCCGAGGACCACGATCGTCGGCGGCCCGGGCTGGGACCCTAATCCCGACCACACGACCATGATGATCCAGGACTGGGGTGTGTTGACCATCTACTATAGGTTCCTAAAGGACTGGCTGCACATCAGCCGGAAAATGGTCCAAGATCAGGTGGAAATGCACCAACGGTGGTCAGCCGTCTCAGTCATCCCAGCCGTCTCAGACTCCGACGACAGCGACGACAATGACGACTCCTCTGGCTCCACCGTCGACCGACTGCCACCTGCAACGCCCCTGTCGTCATCGCTGTTATCGTTATCGCCACTGTCGTCATCGCCAATGCCGTGTATCAGACACCGCAGATGTGGTTCGTCCAAGTATAAGAAGCGTCCCAAAAAGTCCGGCTCGGTCACGTAGTTACCGGTCCCCGAGGGATTTGAACAACAATTATTAATTAATTACAATTTTTTTTTAGGTCTGTACATATTACTATAATATACCTATATTATTTATTTATTATTATTTTTTTTTTTAGTACTTTTGTGACACAATTTATGTACTTTGCTGTTAACGATCGCAAGTGATTTGTAAAAGAGCTCTATCGTAATGATACTCTTGCCTACTTTTTTTTTGTATCTTCGATTAGTAGCTAGCGTTTTGTAAGTCATGCAATATAAACATGATCTAAATTATTATTATTATTATTACTATTATATTACGAATAATTTTATTACATAATATATTGCATATATTTTTATATTCTATGAACGATTGAACAACAACAGACTGTTTTTTTTTAATGCTTTGAATGAAAATAATATTAGTTTTGTGTATGAACATTTTAATTTACTCAGCTCTGATAGTATTTAGGTGTGATTTTTTTTATTTTATTTGTAAAACCAATATACTCGCACCGAAATTAGCGAGCTCTAATAATCGAATAATATTGAAGATAGCCCAATTTTTACCACCAATAACTGTGGTAACTATAATATTATAATAACATGACATTTCGATAAATTAAAATTTTTTTTTTATCCACGAATGTTGTATTTGTATTATTATTTTCATAGTAAAGACAACCAATTTGATACTATATTATTAAACAGTAAAATATGTTGAACAATAAACGAATTATTAAATTTCAAACTGTAGTATGGCAATATTATAATGAAAGACGGTCTTTATTGCATCACAACAATTACATTATTTTACTTATATTCGTGAAAATTATAATATAATTACAATGATTACTTGTATAGTTTTACTGTATATTTTGTATACAATAATAATTAATATTATATTTGAGGAGATAGTTAATTATTATTTACAATTGATTGTCCAAATAAAACCAAACTTGCCTGAATAATACGACGATTATATTTTAGTATAATAATACTTCTGAAATTCCATAATCATGATTTCACTCGATATTTAATACTACCTCTAAGTTTAAATAATAATTTATAAAATGACGGGATTTGAGGCTCAGGATTTTACAGAAATAGATATATTATAAATTAAAATTACTATACTATAGTTGATACTCGGTGGAAATTTACAATTATGATTTTAAAATGAACAATATGTAATTTACCATTTAAAATAATATTTAATATCAAGCACAATAGTTGCACATAAATATGTAATGGAGCATATAATAGGTACCTCCTACCTATATATTATAGTAAATAATGTACTAGTAAACATATTAACACAAGTGACGGAACGATCACTCCAAAGAAAATATTTAACCGTCTGATCTGTGTGATTGTGTAAGTGTTAACTACAACTCAGATAATAACACGGAATTACGGGAACATGCAATAGAAAGTAGAAATAGTGTAATCTACATCATTTCCCCATGTTTGGTATACAATATTTGAAGCATTATAAATTTAAAATGATATTTTGGTACTCAATATTCAGCACGCAGTACATTATTTGGTAAGTCACACCGGTTATCGGATTGGATGACAATGCGCCTCAGTTTCACTCCCCTGTAACGCCCCTTTCAACACACACCAACACACCCTCCGACGGCAATGTATTATAAGTTATAACCCACTTATTTATGTAAATATGGCCCGACTTTTATTTTTCATTGACAGTTGAATACAAATAAACAAATAAAAATGTGTCACAAAGCGCAACCATAATTGTATTAAACTTACACTTTAGAATCACTCAAAAATAGATGCATTCAAAATTTATTTTTTTTGTGAACCTTCAAAACTATACTAGCTAAATAGTATTATAGAAGTAATAAAACGTTTTCATTCAAACGCAAGTGTTTTTGACACAAACAAATGTTTTACATTTTGCGTCATATCTATACCATTTAAAATTAATTAGATTCGTTTTTTTTTCAATTACAAATCTAATTCATAACCTTTATTACAATGATTCAGAATAAAAATATTAGATAAAACTATACAATTTGGTGCCATTGCTTAATGGTCCTTCCAAAAAATGGTTTTGATGGGAGATTAATAATATTATTACGATAATATACCAACGATACTATAGATATTTATAGTTGTGGCTGAAAAACATACCGATGTATGTATTTTAAATATATCAAAAAAATCGAACGAACGAAAATAAGTTTGTAAAAATGAAAAAGTACGAAATGAATAGCTATAAATTCAGAATTCACCATAGTATTTTAATATTCGTCCAACAAAATTAGCTAAAAACCCGAAGTTGAACATTGCTATATTTGTAGTTATTAAACCTCATATAGGTACCTGATAACTTAAGTAGGTAGATAATTTAGATTTACTGGAAATCGATATTTGTCAGTATTACTTTATTTGATTTATGATATCTTTATACATTCAACCAGTCGTGCAGAAACTGAAAATAGCTTAAGATAATTCAAATATAAAGACTTTATACATATTTAAAGAGATTCAAATTATTTTAAAAGCTTATACAAGTTATTGATGGACTTAAAATAAAAACATTTGAGTATTTTTGAAGCATATTTGATGATCATACATATATTATAATATTATATATATGATTAGGTACCTATTATATTAATTTTAATCAGCTAAAGCATGTCGTAAAAATATTACTATTGTGGAAATGGATGGCTGTCTATAAAATTGCAAAGATTTTTAAGAAAAAGTTCATTACCTAACCTGTAGTGTGATATAATATTATCACTGATAACAATAAGTCACAACTCTTATTATATCTTTTTTTTTTAATACCTTATTCCAAAAAAGAATATTTTGTGGAGTAACTACTACAATATACAAAAATTTAATTTTGGAAGAGTAATTAATGAGCTATACTCGCAACTTATAAGTATTTAAATTTCTGATGAGCTGAGTGTAGTGGTACATGTGGGTATCCCGGAAAATGTCGGTCAACTACTTTGCTCATCAATAAACTTTAAATAAACTTATAAATCATAACTAATAAACTGTTTTTTATAGATCGAAATACTCTGCATAATATTCTGCTTCGGAATATGAAATAAAAAATGTATGTCATGTATTACGTTATATGGATTACCTAGTAGCACAAACTGATAGATACTATTTCGTTATGTTGTGATCGTCGTAAAACTATTTGGTTTTAGGTTTCTGTAATAGTATTAACTTAAAATTAATATTAAGTACTATTATGTCCACCGGGATCCATCTATCACGAAGTCTAATTAATTTTAATCTATTTATACTACAAACCTATTCTCTTCGTTCTACGGTACATCGGGTATTGACTTAATAACAGCTTCTAAATTACTATATTCGATTATTTGTTTTTGACAAAAATTAGTACAACCTACCGCTACCGTAGTACCATATCATTAGTAGAAAAATAATAACAATATAGATACATGATAAAATATTACCTAATGGAAATGTAAGACAGACTGACCGTTTTCATTTAAAATCTTTTTTGATTTTATACAAATATACAATTTGATTTTTCTCGCATTTTTAATTCAAACACATGTATTACAGTGACCTCAATGGTGAAGTTACTTTGGTGTCTACTGTTCAGGTTAGCGACTTCTGGGGTTTTAAATTTGTTTAAATTGTTGTGTAATATAATAAGAATGCAATATTTTCGCCAGGTTACTTTAAGTCGAAAAAAAATCGACCAGTCGTTCAAGCTGCAAGAAATCCAAATCCAATGAAGCTCATGAAACATCGCCATCATATTGGTGTTATTCGTTCTATCTAAATCGCATTAAGACAGGTCAAACTAAAAATAAAAAATAAGAATATATTAAGCTAATATCTCAAGTCTACCGTTTGGTCGGTCTTTATTCAATAATAATTAAACCACGAGAGTGTCCATCAATTATATTGCTCACCTCACAAGTCAGCTGTCTGCATCTGGTTAATGGTTATATTATATACATATCTATACCATAGTTCATGTACGTAGTAAAAATCCGATTTAGCCGTGACCGTATTATGTGTGTCGTGTGTATAATATAAGCCCCCAGTACATTAACAATTATTGTATCAAACACCTGCAGCATCTGGTTTCAATCTCAAACTGTTTTTTTTTTATTAATATACTTGTTTCCGTAGCTTTATGGGCAAAATATATAGTGTTAAATCGTTGAATGCAACCCATTATTCATTTAAATTAATAGTGTGCATTATTCCTGCTGCCTACAGTATTCTAATAATAGTAGCTAATTGGTATTATTGTATTCATACAAAATATGCACAAGAATAAGTGCATTCAATAATGTTTGACTACAATTCTTATATTATATATTTTTACGAATATCTATTATTGAAACTCATCTCACCTATTGTTTACCTATTTTAGTTAGTACCATACCTATTAACATATTGTTTTCATTGAAAATAGTATTTTATTTTGAATATATGTAGTAGTACCGCATTATAACACTTTTCGATTGTACTTGTCCCTAATACATTTGCAGGTAGCTCGAGAGTGTAATTTAACCGAAGTCGAAATACCCGTGGATAATATATAAATGCAATTACATTTGGGAGTCGGAACTATAAGAAAATCATTAGTTAAGCTGAAAACTCTATATGTTTGCTAACGAAAACAATTTATAAATTAAATTAATTTATGTGGTGAATGGTGATCCCTGCAGAGTGCAGATACTGTACGAACAATAAGTACCCAATATTTTTGTTTGATACTAATAATATAATATTTTATATAGAAACTATATTATATGTGTCAATGTGTACGTGTGTTGGTTCATTCAAAAATCGACCAGCCTAGGTGACGTGTTTTCCTTGTGACGACGACACGGAATTCCGTTGAAGACATGTATATTGGGAGGTACACGTACGTCTTAATATACCTTGTATTTGTCGGATCAACGCCTTTTTCACACACGCTCACTCACACAATGTGTTTACATCTCCGAAATTATTGTAACAAAAACCGTCAGCCGCCGCCGCCGCCCCGTGTATAACATTTTTGCGTCCTTTCGTTTGAGTGGCGCCGTCGCGTCGCCAAACGGTATACAAACAGTTTTCGATACAATAATAATAATAATAATAATATTCTCTCGCGCCCGCTGTGATATCTACACAATGAGAAGCGATGAGATGCACCGCCGCCGCCGCCGCCGCCGGAGCACCACCTCCAACGATGCATTTTTTGAATATTTTTATTCATTGGCGTTCATCTCTTTCTCCGTCTTTCCACAAACGCATGGACGCCGCGTCGAGCTTCCGGTGTACTCCTCGGTGGTTGTAACCGTATTTTATTATTATATTTTATGCATTGTGTTTCTATGACCCCCCCCCCCCCCCNCAAAAAGGACGTTTATTATTGGCCGTCTTGTGTAGTTTATTTACGACCACGACCCGCGACGATGACACGGTGGTACATATTTGTATATTGTGTAAACTTGTGCAGTATTCGAACTGTCCTCGTAAATCTACTTTTTTTATTATTAATCCAATACGTATATAATATATTACATAATGTATATATTATGTTGGACTCAAAGCGGTTTCATATCAATGAGTTTTTCAAATCCAAAAATATGTTTGGCGGCCACTCGAACGATGGGGTGTA